ATTTCTACCGGAAATTAACAAACAAGCAGATACATAACAACTGATTAACATTTATTTGAACTCACAGTTTTTAACATTAAACAGTATTAGTTGTAATTGTATTATATTCTCTTTTATCGTTATATATTATCTACTTCTGTCCTTTAACAAGTTTAAACTTTATTGGATAGTCAGTATAGTTTCACTAGGAAAATATTTTCCTTTTAATCTTTTGACATTCTTCGAAGAATTTACTGTTTATGTAGATGGGGATGGATTTGGTGTATCCGGAGTTTTAGAAAGCATTTAACAAGCTGTCACATAAAAGGCTTGTTAAAAACGTTATCTCTGTATGTGTGGGAGGTAGGTTGGCTCATTTGATAGAAAACTGGATAGATGAAAGAAAACTGAGTTTTGTTATAAATGGAATACAGTCAAATTCAATTAATGTCACGAGTGAGGTACCTCAGGGCTCAGTTTCAGGACGTTTGTTCTTTTTTATTCACATCAGTGACATGGATGAATGGTCATTATAGATTATTTGAATTTCCTGATGACATTAAAGTTTTGGGGTTCCTGGTTATGAAGAGGATGCTATCCTTTACAAATGGATCTAGATCATTTAGTGAGTTTGTCCAATAAATGGCAAATGTCTTTTAATTATAATAAATGCAAGGTAATGCATATAATATATCACAACTTGAATTATGATGGAATAAAATAAACTTAACAGTGTTAAGGAAGAAAAACATCATTGTGTTTTGGTTCATCAGTCTTTTAAACCACCAAGAAATGTGCTATTGCTAATGGCAAGCTAAATACCTCAAGAAGGACACTGAATTGTTGGAAATAGTTCAGAGGAGAGCTACCAGGATGATACCTCAGATGGAAAGGTTGTCGTACAATGAGAGGTTAATATTTATGAACTTGTTTTCTCTTGAAAAAAATAATTAGAGGGAGATGTTCAAGATTGTTAAGGGATCGAAAGTGTTTTTTCGTATTTAATGGTGAGAATGGTAAAACTATTGGGTAAAAGTATAAATTTTGGCAAGGTAGGAGTCATCGTCAGCTAAGACAACTATATTTCTCTAGCAGGATGGTTGGCCTTTGGAACGAGTTGTCTTCAGATGTGATAGATGCAGTTAATATAAGAGAGTTTAAGGGAAAGCTTGATAAATACATGAACGATAAGGGCTGGTTTCGGAGGGGAGGGGGTAGTGTTTATTTTAATTTCATACATAGGATGCACCATAAAAACATTGAAAATATAAAGGAACAACGCCGAATCGCGTTTTCCTAAAAGCAAATTATGAATCCCAACTTTTTGGTACTTGGCATGACAGTACAATAAAATTACTTATGTCAATATTTATGAAGGACATTGCTGTACATGTATGAATCATGAACGTAAATACAAAAAATATACTAAGATAAAAATTATGAAATATTAATAAATAGCGTCAAGTACTTTTATACCATTTCTACCACGTTTCATAATGTTCAGTTTGTTTTAAATTTCGCGCAAAGCTATACCAGGGCTATCTACACTAGCCATCCCTAATTTAGCAGTGTAAGACTAGAGAAAAGGCAGCTAGTCATCACTACTCACCGCCAACTCTTGGGCTACTCTTTTACCAACGAATAGTGGGATTGACTGTTACATTATAACGTCCCCACGGCTGAAAGGGCGAGCATGTTTGGTGGGACGGGGATTTGAACCTGCGACCCTCAGATGGTGAGTCCAGCGCCTTAACCACCTAGCTATACTGGGCTATTTCCATTATGTAACATGAAATAGAAGCTGTTTCCTGACAACACTTAAGTTGATTTTTATCCCTTATAAGAAATAGAAGCTACAGTTAACGTTTTTATTGAAAAATATACTGAGGCATGACTTAAATCAGGAATGCGAATTTTATCAAACGAAATAAGTAATATTGTAATAAGCAGATAACTTGTATGTTTCCTACCCGCTTTGATGATATAGAAAATTTTTGAAAATATTCAGTAATTTGTATTGGCGGTAACACATGATTCAGAAAGCTGTTCAGATTACCATGTTCTAGTTGATTTGCTTCTTTGTTCTCTGTAGAAGGTGGTATCTATTCTGCCCTAGAGGATATTGCAGTAATATATAAAATCCAGTTAAAACTGATTGGCACTTTGATATCCTTTGATGGCCAAATATGACTAAATATAACAGCCAACAAATTCTTTGAGGGTAGAAAGGTCACGAAATGACGTTGTCGACTGTAAAAGAAAGCCGATTTACCTGTTGAATTTCAGCATGCTTTTATTTATTCAGTTCTACTAGGATGATATAGAGTGAAAAACGACTTTTTAGATCATCGTGTTTAGTTCGATGGAATTCTATGCAGAGAGGGAGAGAATTGTGGGACTAAACACGGCTTAGCAGATGTTTCTGTCCTTTCGCATGCTCAAGTATGTATGCTGCGTTTGTTTTTTGTTTATCCGTTAATATAGTTTATTTTCACTTTGCACCAACTTTGTCCAGTCTCATTATTTTATATACACATCAGGAAATCTCAGTTGATTTATTAGTCCAGAAGCTCGCTCAAAGAAGTCCTCTAAATTTTGAGTTTGATTTAAAAGAGAACTGCGCAACATAAAGATGCTAGTGTCGTCATGAAGAGTTTCTTTGCGCAGGTGCTTGCAACTATGACATTGATATGTGCGCAAATCGTTCCATGCTTGATGAATCATAAGATGAAGAAAATGACGTTGAATAAAAATGTGATTAAGAAATACGGAATTAAAACATTCACGGATGTGATGAGGAGAATTAGTTGTGATATAGAACTGTAAGTATTACTGGACCCTGCAAATTACTATGATTTTGTGTTGTGGGATGTACTAACTGTGTCGCAAACAAGGATACACTAGACCTTAAACAATATAGTGAAATTATAGATTATTAAGTGTACTGGTATTGCATAAAATATGTTCTATGATAATAAACCAGTTATTTCAATATTAATTTGTTGATTATTTAATCACAATTATACAATGACGGACATTATCAATTATTATATAACAAAAATTAACTGAAATGATGTTTTTTTTGTTTTTTTTACATACACGAGTGCATTACTGGCCAATGAATAGGAAATGATTATTCTAGTGGTTTCCTATACAGTAAACTAGAAATATATATATTAGTTGAATTATAACACAGTTTTATTACAATAATTAATATTTTATATCAATGGGGTGAATTATGAGAAAAAAACATTATTACAAAAAACTACGCACATTTGACTCTGGCAACAGTGGTTCTGAAGGGTACCTAAACCATGGTACAGTCGGAAATTTCTAACTTTCGAAGCATTTACTTGGGCCCGGCATGGCCAGGTGGTTAAGGCACTCGATTCGCAATCTGAGGGTTGCGGGTTCGAATCCCCGTCACACCAAACATGCTCGCCCTTTCAGCCGTGGGGGCGTTATAATGTGACGGTCAATCCCATTATTCGTTGGTAAAAGAGTAGGCCAAGAGTTGGCGGTGGGTGGTGATGACTAGCTGCCTTCCCTCTAGTCTTACACTGCTAAATTAGGGACGGCTAGCGCAGATAGCCCTCGTGTAGCTTTGCGCGAAATTCAAAACAAAAAACTTTTACTTTAAAAAAAGGTCAGGACAACATCTGGTGCTGACCATATTTATTCACTGTTTGCACTATCTCCTTTGACTGTGTCATTTGGTGCAGTGCTACACATGCTTTGGAGTTTTCCATTTTTATTTACTTGTCAGATGTTCTAAATCCTGACCTACATTCAGTATCTGTCTGTGTATGGTTCCATTGTCATTTTTAACAACATCCTTGTCAACATCATCTAGAGAATCCAGTACAGAAAAGTGTAACAATCATCAGCCACCATGTCAGCACTCTTGGACTCAAATATATTTGATGGATATAATGGAGAAGTTTCTATTCCA